GCACTCTAGCCTGGGCAACACAGTGAGACTCTGTCTAAAAAAAAAACCTAATTGTTATAACTTCTTAGGTGAGAGAAGTATAGATAAGTTCCTCTTAAATGAAAAGCTACATCCTACTTCCAAAGATAGTGACGAATATAGCAATAGAAAGAGCATGGGATCTGAACTTGAGCCCATCACTTTATATTTACCATTTACTGAGTACTTATTTATTAGTGCTGTGGTAGGAGCTCTATATTCAGAATCTAATTTAAACTATACAACTCTAAGGTATTTCTAAGACTCTGATTCTATGCTATATTTTTATTTTGTGGAGTTAGGTAACCTAACATTCACCATTCTATCCTCACTTTTCTCGTCTATAAAAGGGGCTTGATTATATTATTTAATTCATGAGATTACCCTGCTCTGTAAACTGTGAACTCTTGTGTAAATATTAGAAATCATTACCAGCAGGGCAGGGTTCAGTTTTCACACATCATTTGCCACTGAAACTCATCTCTTGTAACTTTATCTACACATACTGTATCTACATAACATATACTATATCAACATATATATTGACACTTGGTTTCTGAGAGTCAGCACTCACAAGCCTCCCTGCTTAATCAAGGTACACCAATTAACTCTGAAAGAAGCATGAAGATAATCTAACTCACAGGTTAATGATAAGTTCTGGTTTTGGAATTGGGGAAGGGGAGATATTTTTGAGAGCCTTTATGTTTCAGGCACCATGCTAGATGGTTAACTTTCATTGGCTGATTATGACTGAATTTGTTTGCACTAGAGCTGGAGCATGGGCCATTTCAAAAGTATATCAGGTAATTGTACTGTGTATCTATGGTTGAGAATTACTGACAAAAACCCCATTAATTCTTACAGAAATCCTCCAAGATAGGTTTTTTATTCATTTATAGTAAAGAGATGGGTGCCCAGAGACATTAACTAACTTTCCTAAGGTCACACATCTTGTAAAGCCAAGTTTTTTCCACTTCACCAAAATGACACATTTCTTGATCAGAGGAGACAATCGTTCTCACCAAATCAAGGGAGATGCTAAACCTAAAGGAAAGACTGAAGGTTCCTACTTAATAATCAAATGCCCTCGGTTGACCCTGTTACCCTCCATGATCCCTTTCCTGTCACATCAGTTCTTGTTGATCTCCTCACAGAATTTCAATAACATGAATAACTGGCTTATTTTGATGGTATTCATACTCGACCTTATATTTGTACCTGTATTTATCAAGCCTTCCCTGTACGTTTCCTAGTTGCCAAACCTGGTGATTTGCAGGCAAATCATGATAGGAGCCCTGGTTTTGCAGCGAGATCCACCTGAATTGGCCTCCTGCCATGTGCTTAGCTGTGTGGCAATGACAAGGCATTTTATTCTTTGAATTTCAGTTTTGTAAGCATAAAAAAGGGAAAAATAAAGCCTGTACTTTAGTAAGGTTTAGAAACACTACATTCAATCAATCATAGCTATTCGTATACCCACCCTCACGGATGGAAGTAAAGTGTGTGGTGTAGTAGGAAACCATGGAAAGCAGTAAGTTGAGTTCGATCTTTGGAGTGGATTCCTTTTCCTAACTCCAATGTCCCTACATTTGGGGAAAGAATAGAAAAGAGTAAGGAGTCATGAAATCATGAAATCTAGCTGAGGCTGGCACTTCAGTCCCTCCCAACAAGTTTCCAGAAAGTTATTTACACATGATACACCAGCCAACTCACAGGAAATCCCACTCTGCCTCACGTCCCTGCCCTATGACCAGGTCTCCACCCCAAGCTCTGCCCCTACATTTAGGGGAGGAATTGCGGACTTCTTTTTATAGTGGATTGGTTTACCAAGGGGAGGGGAAGTCTGAGAGGCTCCACCCATTTCACGGGAGGCCTAGTGAGGGCGCTCCCCTCTGCTCTCCCGGCTGGACCAGCAGGGAGGTGGGCCGGCGGCGGAGGGAGGGCCCGGTCCCCAGTCCCTTTAAGGAGGAGGGCCGAGCGCGGCGGCCAAGAGAGCGGCATAGCCCCCACCCGCCCGCGCCCTCACCCCAGAGCAGCCGCAGCCCTAGCCGTGGCCGCCCTCACCCCAGAGCAGCCGCAGCCCTAGCCGTGGCCGCCCGCCGCCAGCAGTGTCCGCTTCGGCCCCCGGCAGCGAGTCGCCAGCATGGTGAAGATCGTGACTGTTAAGACCCAGGCGTACCCGGACCAGAAGCCGGGCACGAGCGGGCTGCGGAAGCGCGTGAAGGTGTTCCAGAGCAGCGCCAACTACGCGGAGAATTTCATCCAGAGTATCATCTCCACGGTGGAGCCGGCGCTGCGGCAGGAGGCCACCCTGGTGGTGGGCGGGGACGGCAGGTTCTACATGAAGGAGGCCATCCAGCTCATCGCCCGCATCGCCGCCGCCAACGGGGTAAGGGACGCGCCGGCTCCTCCGCGGCGTGCGCCCCTGGCGCGTGCGCGACGTGCGGCCCGTGTCGCCCAGCTAGCTCCGGGCCGGGCCACTTCCGTGCGCCGCTGTCCCAGTCTCCACCTCCCGCTCCTCTGCGCTCGCTCTTCTGGCCTGGAGGCCCGACGGAGGTCGCCGTGTCGGGGGAAGTGGCCACGGACCCGGCTCAGCTGCTCGCCTGACTCCCAGGGGGCGGGGAAGCGCGGGAGCCGGGCTTGACCTTGGGAGGCCCGCCCGACCCTCCTCCTCTCGCGCCTCCCCCCTGTCGCCTCTCCCCTCCTTTCCCTCCCGACTCCCTCCCCCCCCCGCCCAGGCCTCTGACATTTACATTAACCTTTGCTGCCTCTGAAGATACTGTTGCAGCGCGGAGTGCCGTCGCCTTAACCAGGAAAGCTTAGACGGCGTCACCTTGCTCAGAGCCCCCCCGCATCCCGCCCGCTTGCCTGCTATTCTCGTCTGGGATTGGCGCTTCCCGCTGGCTCGGAGCCCGGCGCTTTAGGGCAAGGGTGGCGAGAGCATCCACCCACTCGGGGCGTCAGGCCAGCAGATCTGACTGAGCAGGCAGGTGCCAAATGTCTCTCCCTAGCCACTAGTTTGCGTTGGTACAGAGCTCCTGTCCTTGCGTGGTCTGCTTGCTGGGGCGCAGGCTTTTGAACAATCTATGCTGTTCTGGATGTGTTCCCCCAGGGGGCTGGAGCTGAGTTCTCAGTAGAACAGAAACGGCATACCCAAGGGCGCTCTTACGTAAGCTGTCGTGGTAGGCCAGGAAATTGATTGATGCAACACCTTGCTTCCGCCCCCTCAGCGCCCCACCCCCCGAGGAACGTTAACTGACTTACTTGGGCAGATTCACTCGGATAGGTGAAACTTTAAAATAGGATTTTCGGTAAATCTGATACATGAAAATGTGGATTTATAAAATTGGTAAATTGGGGCTAATTATTTATTCACTTTCATAAAACACTTCTAAGGAGTTCTTCCAAGGAGCAAGTTTTCTTTCTATATTTAAAATAACATGACTTAACACCCAACTCTTCTGGAACTCATTCCCTAGAATGGATATTTTTATTCACTTTAGTAGTACTTTGTTTACCTTCTTTTATTAGCATGTTGAATGACATTTTGCCAAGCACCATGGTAAGCACTTCACTCGTGGAATCTCGTTTACCTCCTGCAGCTCTATAGGGTGGATGCTAATATGGGTGTCTTCAAGTTGTCAACAAGAACACTGAAGCTTAGGCAGGTTAAATAATTTCCAAGAACTATAATGACAGCTCTGAGAATCCAATTTAGACCTGCCAATCCCAAGAAGTTGAACAGCTTCTGAGAAGGAAGGGACGCTTGAATCTAAAGATCTATTTTCCATTCTCCGAAATCTAAACTGGGCCCTATTTACATCTGCCTCCCTGGGTCAAACATTTATAAGCATTAGTGAGGGAACATTGTCTGGATTTGTCTTCTCTGTGCTCCTGAGTTTTCAGACAAGTATAAATTCCCATAAAAGAAGAACAAACAATAGCTATATCCTATTAGATTCTTTCGTCTCCTTGTTACCACCTGTGCTGAATTCACATTTCCTTCATTTGACAGCTCCTGAGCCTATCCCATGGACAGAGAAATGTGTGGGATACAAGGATTCAGACACGAGACTCATCTTTAAGGAGTTTACACTATAGTGGGAGTTTTAGAGGTGCAAATGGAAATTTGTCCTTTCGGGAGTAGTGTGGGGTGTGAAGGAAAGACTTAATTAAGACTAAAAAAAAAAATTGCTTGAAATTTCATTATCCTTTAGCTACTACTCTGTTGCTCTTCTCTCTTTTTTAGCCAACCTGGTAAAACTTCCCTGCATTCACCATGTCTGATCCTACCTGCTATTCGCTCACCAAATCAGTGCAGTCTGGCCTCTGCCCCCTCCACCACTCTGCCAAAATTGTTCTTGCCAAAGTTACTGGTGACTTTCTGGTTGCTAAGACCATGGAACACACTTTAGGCCTCATTTTATTTGACCTTTCTGTTGAATTTGGCACTGCTGATTTTTCTCTTTTAAATTTCTTGCTCCCTTGCCTCGAACTCTCTCTCCTGATACTACTCACACCTTTTGAAAGTTCCTTCATGGACTGCCTGCCCTCCCTATACCTTAGCTGCTTCTTGGATTTCTGTTCTCAGCTTACTACTTCCTGATTTTATTCTCTCTTTTATTGTTAAATCACCAGGGATTTAAATATGCTACTCCTCTTCTGGTGTGATTCAGTTCAGGTAGCTTTCCCCGCCCAACACCCCATCCCTGCCACTCTCCTTTGCCTGTTAAGTAAGTGCTCCTCTCCTATAGATGCCTCTAGAATAGATAAATCAAATTCAAGTGAAATTATCTGTTTACATGTCACAGTCCCCCACTAGAGAGTAAGCTTCTTTAAGACAGGGTCTGTGTTTTACCTATGTCTGCAATACCTAGAACAATGTAACATTCAATGAATCTTTGTTCAGTTGCTCTGAATTGTGAGTCGCTTTTGTATTCCAGCGTATGGTTGGTGACCAATAAATTTATTCTCATCAAACATTTAATATGTGCTTGATTTGTATCAGACATTGTGCTTGAGATATAAAATACAAAAGAGATTATGCTTTCTTGTCTTGCCCTCAGGAAAGACATACTCTAGCAGGAGAGGTTGAGGAGAATAAGCAAACAGGGCAGTGCTCCTGTGGTCCCAGCTACGGAGGAGGCTGTGGCAGGAAGATCACTTGAGACCAGGAGTTCAAGGCTGTAGTGCACTGTGATCATGCCTGTGAATAGCCACTGTACTCCAGCCTGGGCAACATAGCCAGACCCTGTCTCTTCAAAGAAGATGCTCATGATAGCCTTAAAAAGAAATAAGCAGACAGCACAAGGTGTTAGGTTTTATGTTGGAGGTATGTGGCAGATATTTTAGGGACAAGAGCATGGAGGACTGTACTTGGAAAGGGAAGATGAAATGAGGAAGGCTTCATAGAAGGATGAACTCTTAAAGAATGAGTTTTGAGTTCCCAAGATGAATTTGTTGGGTGGGAGGAATTCTAGGCAGAATGAATAAAAATCAGGGGAGTTGGGGACTCTTCTCCTGAGCAAGTTATTTAATTTCTGATCCTTTTTGCCCCATCTTTAAAAATTAGGAATGATAATACATACCCAGAGAGGCTGTTGTGAGGATTAGATGAAAACATCTTTAAAGGTACCTGGCAGTGCCTTCTCACCTGGAAACTGTTGGAGTGACACTTGTATTATCAGTGTTCTACTGATATTAGGACAGTAAGTTAATTCAACCTGATGCAGATATTAGCCCCCCAGATGGATTGTCTCCCACCTTCTTCTAACCCTTAACAGCCCCAACCAATATAGAGGAATTCCATGTTAGTCTGAACCTAAGAGGGGGTAAGTAACAAAAACCTAACTTGGATTCATCCAAGTGAAAAGGAAATTTATTGGCCCATGTTACTGAAAAGTCCAAGAGTTACCCAGTGCATACTGTTTAGTTCAAACTATTCCTGGTCTCTAAAAATCACTTCTGGGCCCAGTGATCTGCAAATGACCAGTACTAGGAACTGGGGAATTCACAAGTAAAAGGATGTATGGATATTTTGAAGGATGATTTATCACCATCCTAAGCAAAAGAAAATAATACCTTCATGGGAACTTAGGAGTAAGCAGGTTTTTTAATCAAGTCACAGGGGTTCTTTTGTCAGGGGCTCCTTTGCTACTCCATTGTAAAACCTATGGATCCCCCCTTCTGAGAATAATTTTATTTTTAAGTGAATAAAACAAAATACAAAGGAAACAAAAACTATATTGAAATATAATTAGCAAAACATTAAAAAATCAAATTTGTGATATAGCAAGCTATGTGCTTCTTTATTGACACATTATTAATAAATAATGAGATCTAGGGGTGGTTCTAATATTACCTTACTTCAGAGTTGTGATGAGTATAAATGATATTTTGAGACATCTGCAATCTCAATATTTTAAGACAACTATAATGTGATATAAAGATATCTTTGATTTCTATTAATGATAAAGTCCTAGGTAGTAGCAGCATTAGTAGTAATAACACTACTATCACTGTGGCTTACTTCCTACATTGATATTAATAATTGAATGAAATGCTAATTTCAGTTAGAGGTTAGGGAAAATAAAAGATTTTTTGGTTTGGTTTGTCATTCATGTTCATGGACCCCACTGAATTCTACCCGAGAGCCTCTTGAGGGTAGAACGCTGGGGTCTAAGCATCCCAAGATAAGAACTCCTACGCTAAACAATGATCCCCTGTTAGTGTCAGGTGCTGCCTGTACCAAAATGGGCCTCAAATACATGACCCAGAGATTAAGGGTCTCGTGTTCTCAGAACAAACCAGTGGGGCTTTGAGAACTTTGCCTTACAATGGACGAACTCCACTATCTCTCAGTGGGAATGAATCACTCTTTTCTGAACTTTCATGAGGCCTTGCTGCAAACACTGGTGAAGGAGTATGTTTCTGACTGTAGTTCACAACGTTTACTGAGAAGAAAATGAAGGAACGCTAAGCAGTGGGAGGAGGGCAAGAAGGTTTGGGACTCTTAGGTAATTGGTGTTAGAGGGAAGCGCCTTGCTACCCTTACTTAAAACCTGATATCCTTGGGGCAGGGATGACTTGGCAAAGAAACATCTTTGAGTCACTTTTTAATATGCTGTCACATCCATCTTTTTGAGCAAAGTTTTTTAAAATTATCATGGGCTTTCGAATGATTGTTCTCCCTTGTTTACTCTTTCTGATTTTGAATCAGCATTGAACGCCAGGATGAGTAAGTATTGTCCTTTTCCAACCAGGAGTATACAGTCTTTGGGGGGAATAAATACAAGACAGACATACATGTACAAAGAACAGAATTAGAAAAAGTGCTGAGTTCAGAGAAGGGAGAGGACATTCTGGATTGGGGAAAGAAGAGGTGGAACT